AAAATATTATAATTTAATAATCTTTTTCATTTTTTCCATCAATAATAATAATAATAATAATAATAATAATAATAATAATAATAATAATAATAATAATAATAATAATAATAATAATCCCTTTCTTTTTTCCCACTCCGACCCTTTTCATTCAAAATTTTCTCCATTGGTCATTCCATTTTCTAGAGAGACCCATTTCATATTTCCTGTCCTTGTTAGGTTCAACTTTAGTGCGTGGTCTTTAATTATTCTTTTAACAAACAGATTATATGTCCAGGAGGGGGTGGAAAGAGGAATGAAGAGGTGTTTTTTATTGCAGTGTTTTGGCTTACTACATTGGGGTATTGGTTGTATTGAATCCTTTTGGAATTATGGAGTGGAGCAGGTTTTGTATTTGGTGCATAATGTGTAAACAATGGGTATTATATATAAGGGTTGTATGGTCTTTAAAATCTTATAAATAATATTTTTTTTATTTAAAAAACAAATATACAAAGAAAGAAGCCATAAACCCTACCTTTCAGGCTGATTTTTTTTTCATAACTATATGCTTGTATTATAAGATTCAAAGTTAATCTTAAAAGAATTAAAAAATATATATCGTTTAATATATCTCTAGAAATAAAATGGAGATGAGAATACTAAATACAAAAAATTGTACAAAATATACGAACTCTTAAAATAAATTAATGTAGAAAATCACATATGCCTTACTATTTCTCCTTTCTTAGGTTGGCAATTTAGCATAGCATTCTCTTTGTTTTTTCACAAGCATAACATTCCCTTTAAGGACATTAAAATGAAAAATTGAAAAAATACCCTAAACATGTCGCATGTATGACACCCAAAATGCAAAATTAGAGCATGTGTATCCATTTACGAAAGGCTTGATGTCACAAAAAATTATCCAACTTAATAAAAAGAGTCATTCTCATTTCTTTACTTTAAAATAATATGTAAAAGTCCTTTAATTTTAGAAAAAGAATTCACAAAAATCTCTGAACTTTGAAGAAATAGCCAACCATCGTACTTCCATTGACGGACATCATAACGTCATCAAGCCCGCGTTTAAATTCTCTAAATTTTAACGGTAAAATAACATTATTGGTCCCTTAACTTTTAATATCTCACTTTGATCCTCAAACTTTAAATTTATTCAATTTGATTTTAATTTCGATTTTTCTTATTACAATTGGGTCCTTAAACATTTGAAATAGTTACATTTAAATCTTTAAATTTCTAATTTCATGTGTTTTGGTTTTTTTAATAAATAATAAAAATTATAAAACTTTCAATAAAATTACATTTAACCTCTTCAAATATCAATAAAATCAAACCCAATATAGTAAATTAAAATATATAAAATTTCATATAATCAAGGTGTAAAATCAAGTTTTTAATATTCACTTGTCTTAAAAATGTCTTTCATACCCAATTTGGAATCTTGCAACAGTTTTTGACAACCAAAATAATGAAATTGCAGATGATTTAGATATAACTTGTGAATGTGGAGTAAATTTTGTCATATAAATATCATGAATTGATGATAATTTTGGACATTTTTTTATAG